AATTTGAGGAAAAGCAGCACCATCTAGTGCCCTACAGTAGTCAGATCCAAAAATCAATTTCACAAGCACACACAGAAATTTCAAGATAGCAAACACTCATAAAAACAGCAGGACACCAGAGGTTTAACTCTATCAGCACTTCTGACAAAGGGAATTGCATATAATAGTCTTGCTACAAATGAGTTTCCAAGAGTGAGATCTTTTCAGGCAAAACAGAAATTCTTTAAAGACAAACTAAGAAATTATTCTGCCATCTATAAAAAAGATGCAGTCCAAAGGCTAAAATTAGCAGAAGGCTACTACTGTCTATAAAAAAGCTACTAGAAATAAAAAACCAAGCTTCAAGAAGTTCCGTAATATTAAAAGTTCTAGCACACTGAAAACATAAGACAGTATGAAGTGATATTTCAGAAACCTTGAGAAAATCTGTGAGGAAAATTAACATAAATTCTTTTTCAAACTCATTCACGAACAGAAATCTTGACAGATGGTTAGTACAGCAAACATACGATCAAAAAGCAGAAAGAACAGTATGAAAGAGACCAGACTGCAAAATTTTCAACTGTTTTGAGGTTTGGTTTGTTTGTGATTTTTTTTAATTTGAGGGGTTTGTTGTATGTTTTTTTGGGGAGTTAATTTAGGGTGATGTTCTTTTGTTAGTGTTTGTTTGTTTTGTTGGGAGGGGATGTTTGGGTTTTTTTTTTGTTTTTATTTTAATTCACATTCATCATGGAGAGGCTGACTGGCTCCTGCTCCAGACAGCTCATTTCAAATCAGAGGATCAAGGATGCTACTGACCTTTTCAGTGACACACAACAATAACAAATCTTTATAATTAGACAGTAAATACCCAAGAAATCAATTAGATAATAATTGAGCTACCAACCACCATAACCTCTCACTTAAAAAGCAGCAGGTAACAAATGAGACAATTTTTAATGAGTTTTCCAGGGATTTATGTAAGTGAGTCTACCTCTTTCCACTGTGCTGATACTCTGTTATATAAAAGTACTGTATATACAGATAAATGTATAATGCTGGCAAATATGGCTCAAGTAAGGGGTACATGGGACTCACATCCATTGTCATTCTCAGTCTACAAGGGTTATCAACAGATAGGAATTCTAAAATTTATCAATTCCTAATTTGCCAGCATTTTGAGCATCATATCAGTCCTCCAATACAAAAATCCAAGTACAAAAAGGAATGGAGATGTTAAAAAATGACTGGCAGGCCTTGCATTCATCACCACTGTCTCAAGCTATGGACAGTTATGGAGATTTTTAACTGTAGGAGAAAGTGCCAGAGCAAGCTGATTTTCTAACCCTACAGAGAACCTAGATAATTAAGTTTATTAAGTCAAAAGTCAAGCTTTGTAGGAAGTGCAGACCTACATCTCTCACATGACTCGAAAACATAATTATAGCAGAAGTGTCTTTTTTCACACAAGAAGCAAAGTAAATTGCAAATAAGGTGGGTATGATAAAGTATGCATTAGAAGAGTTTTTGTACAGGTTCTAGTGCCCCTTTACTACAGATAACTTATGAGCATCTTAAGGCATCCAGCAGAATGTCATGTATTCAAGAACTGAAACGTGCTACAAACAGCAGGAAATGAATGCAGCAGGCAACTCAGCAGCATGTGAGCAACAACCTCAGTCTCTGCTTATGGCCTTGCAAAAACTCTGTTAATGAAGCCACCACGAAAATATCTGAAGACATTGTACTGAAGCCCACCTTCTTTATCTTAGGTGGAATATTCATATAAACACCGTTTCTCTACAATGAAGATACACATCACAAATTTGAACACAGAGCCATAAATTACAGCACCATTGATTGATGTATTGCTGTCCCCAAAACCATCAATCTGTAAGACTTGGGTATTAGTAAGAACAGAAGTTAAAACAACACACTAAAGATACTGTTTTCTCTGACAGTGAGGCTGATACTACAGCTTAATAAAGCACTAGCTCTATGGAAGAACATACACCCCCAACACAATAAATATGACAAATCAAATCTCAAAGATAAACCAAAATTTATTTAAAACAACAGAAATAAGACAGTGCTACTGCCAAGATAGAAAAAATTAGGGATTATTTTACTGAATGTGACAAGGCAGCCAATTTACAGGTTGGGTTTTACACTGCTTCAATTGACTACAGGTACTTTCTTCAAGACAAACTGGTTACCCTTCCCTCCCCTTTGCAAAAGAACCGACAAAAATACCCTATTAAAAAACATATACAGAATTTTGAGACATGATTGAAACATGAACCATTGTCCAAAAGTCTGGAACTTTCCAAGAGGGTCAAGTCCTTTGTTCCTTCAACCAACCCTCAACGGGGGAGCTACAAGCACAACGCCATCCCCTCTGACAAAGAGCATCGGAATATTCCTTTTGGTAGACTGTGAAGAAGGAAAGAAAAGTTTACATTTACAAAACATTCATTTCAATCATAAAAATACAGCTGAAACAACTCCAACAAACACTCAATGTTCTGGCATGCTGAAGAAATCAATACAACCAACACCAAGTCTCTACATATCCTGTGTACTGGTTCAAAAAACAGCAATAAACTACTTTAACAATATAATACAGTGTAGTTTAAAATAAAAAAATCTGTGGGGATAAATTAACTCCTTTTTTTAGTCCTTACTTTATAAATCTCTTCATAGGTTTCTTCATCAATCTCTATTGTAGTCACAGTTTCTTCTACATCACCCAAAATCATATTTAAATGCTGATCATAAGCCTGTAAGAATTAAGTTTAGTTTATTATGTTTTCCAAAATTCAAACATGAGTTTATTAAAATAAGAATTTTAGCGAGACTTTCAGACATAAATAGTTTAGTCTGATTTTGACCAAAAACAAAGTATTATCAGTTCTAATTACAACTCAACACAAACATAAACAAGTGAGAGCTCTGCAGCAGGAAAAAGGCAGCACAACATTTACATTTAATTCCAGGAAATAGCTCTGAAGCATTTTGTGAGAACACTTACAAGACCTCAGAGACAGACACACTTTATTAACATTAAACCAGCTACACACTGCTGCCATTCCAGCCTCCTGGAATTGATTGCCCAGGGGCAAATTAAAGGATATGAAAGCTGCTTTTCATACAGAGCTACAAAACTTTAAACACATGTTCCAAAAGCTTTACAAAAGCATGTTGCAAACGATAGGTGTCCCTCATGGATCTCTCATTGTCTCTGTGTTTCCAAAGGAGTTGAGGCCCAGTTAACTCATGGGGCAATTGGTTCTCTTCCCCAGCAAAACACAGCACTCAGGGAGGATGACTTTAATAGAAAGCAAAAATCTGAGAACCCAGCTGATACATTCCCATCACACCTCCCAGGGTGTGCCATGAAGGATTCTTATTTGATAATGATGATCTCAGTCTAGAAGAGGCCTCAGGGTACATCATAGGAAGAGGCCCACAGCATTATTGCTTATTTCACAGACAGATAAATAGAAGCCAGAAGCAGCGAAATTAGTTGCTTGGTATCATTCAGGAGACAAGAAAAACAAAATACATAACCTAACTTTCTAGGGAAGCAGTTAATAGCTAACAAAGTACGGAGGAAATTAGATTTTTCCATCAAACACATTACAGTACTGGTAACTAAGGTAATTCTTAACCTACTTTCTCCAACCACTTCTGCACTTTCAACCATGAAATGCAATTATTCGTGTTTTAAAACTAATTTTTTTCAACAACCAGTGGAATATTACAGGTAAACTTGTTTAACAGACTGTTATACATAAAGAGAGGCTACCCAGTGCTTAGCTGAACGAGCATGACAATGTTCTGGAAATTTTACTTACATGTAATCTGCCTCTAAGCTCTCTGTCATTCCTCATTTTGACATAGATTCGCTCATCTAGACTGAGCCTGATGAGATCAAGTGGCTCCTCTACAGTATTTGTTGTTTGTTGCTAAAAAACAAAATAAAAGAAGAAGCCTATGAACTTTTCCATTCCTCAGTGTTGGTGAGACACAGAAAACAAAGGAGTGAAAACACAGATGCAAATACTTCAAATCATTCCTTCACATCCTGGTGAACCTGAGTGCTGCTGATTTTCCACTCCACTGATACTCACCAGCCATGAGCAATGTGAGTCAAACAATTCCAGTTTAGTCTGCAGCACACACAAGGGGACTGTAACTAGATGATCTTTACGGTCTCTTTTAACACAAACCATCCCATAACTCTATGAACTGTTTTTACCAGCAGGCACAGTTTACACTGCAGCAGAGAGCACACACTGCGTGAGCCAGCAGCACACCTGTGCCACGGCACGGTGCAGGCTGAAACAGCCGAACCCACACTGACATCGGCCAGCACCGGGAGTCACCCAGGCACACACACACAGGGGCCCTCGGGTACCCGGGCACACACACACACACCCCCCTCCGGCTGCCCTCGGGTACCCACCCGGGCACACACCGTCCCCCAGCCCTTGCTGGGCACACTGTAGCCAGGCCTGGCCCCGAGGCCGGCACGAAACCTCCACACACACCGGCCCAAGACCCCTTTCTGTGAGCAACTAAAAAAGGACCGCCCTGCATATCCCACATGTTCCACATCTATATCCCATATTTCCGTTCTAGCTACCCCCTTCCTTCAGAGCCACTCGGCAGCTTTCCACCTTTCCCTGCTCCAGCAGTGCCCAGGGCCCGCGGCGAGCCCTGCCCGCGCCCCGACACAAGCGGCACAAGCTCCGAGGCCGAGCGGGGCTTTCACCTCGCACGGAAAGCGCCCCCGGGGGCTGCGCCTCCCCCGGGATTCGGGCAGCCCAGAGCCGCCTGCCCCTGCAGCCGCTGAAAACAGAGCCGCTCACCTGGTCCACCTCATCCGCCATCTTTCAAACCGCCTCCCGCGCCCGCCCGCGAGACTTTATGGCCCGGCCCCTTCCTTCCCTTCCCCTTCCTCCCGTTCCCTTCCCCAGCGCGGGGCCGGGCCGGGACCTGCCCGCGCCCGCAGCGCCATGGCCCGAAAGCGCCGAGCATCGCCCCGGCCCGCGGCCGCCAAAAAGAGGCGCTCTGAGAGGCTGCGAAAGGAAGAGGACGAGGAAGAGGAGGAGAAGGAGGAGGGTGAGGAGGGTGAGTGCTGCAGGGAGGCCGTGGCGGCCGCAGCTGCGCCACCGCCGCTCGGGCCGCCCCAGGCTGCGGGGTCGGGGGCAGCGGGGGCAGCGCGCCCTCGGGAAGGACGGACCCGCGGGGCCGGGGGCGGTGGTTATCGGCTATCGGCTGTCGGCTGGGCTGTCGGCTGTGTTATCGGCTATCGGCTGTGTTATCGGCTGTGTTATCGGCTGTGTTATCGGCTGGGCTATCGGCTGGGCTATCGGCGGTGGGATCAGTGCCCCAGATCCCGGGCTTAAACCCGTGTGTGATGCTGCCCCGCACGCTGGCAAAGGCTGAACGAGCCCGTGGAGGTTTGTTTTATCTTTGCCGCGCTCTCCAGGGCGGCGTTGCGTGGTTATAAGTTGTTGTGAGTGGCAAGCACGACGCTTGGTTTTCCGCCGATTCCATCGGTAGGACTACAAGAGTTTTTAGGTACTTCGTGTGAGTTACATAAGTACTTTCCTCCAGCAAGTCTCACTGTTCGGATCTTGCTTATTTATAAACAAACAGTGACGTGCTCAGCATTGTGGATGCTCACGTTCTTCTGAAGCTGCCTCTAATAAAATCCATGGAGATGTTGTTTCAGGTTGCCATGGAGATGAAACTCCATCCTCTAACACTAATTGTCATTTCTTTTGGCACATGCAGATGATTTTGAAGAGAAAAAGCCCAGTATAAAAAAGAACTCAAAAGCTCAAGCTAGGAAAAAGGAAAAAGATTGTGATACTGAAGTTTCCAACTCAGCAAAAACTTCCAAATCTCCAAAACGAGAAGAAGCAAAATCACAAATAAAAGAAAGTAAAAAGAATGTTAGAAATAAAGGGAATCGTATCAAAGAGGAAACATGCAGGTAAATTTATTTGTCATTCCAGTCTGTAGAACCTTTTTCTTAATCTTATTTCTTTCTGTGGTTTGTCAAATACTTAGTCTGTTGTTACTGATGCAGAGGTCATGCTTGATTTATTTCTCTATTTTTAGTCTTTGATAAACAAGCACTTACGTTTCCTGATGCTACCACTGTTTTGATGATTTTAACAGTGACTCAGTGAAGCATCCTCAGAAGGAGGTGAAGTTAAAGACAGAATCTCCTGTTAAAAAAGAGATGGATGAAGACAATACTGACAACGATGATGATGATGAAAGTGAAGATGAATGGGAGGATGTGGAAGGTAACAATTGCTTATTTTTTCATGTTAAGCACTTTTAAAGAGCTTATATATCAAAATGATTCTTCAACAGCAGGTGCCCAGCATCCTACAGTTAGTTGAAATAGCTTAGCATACATAGTGTTATGCAAGATCCAGGAGCTGGTAGTTATTGGATGTGTTTTGTTTAAAGGTTGTTTGAATACTTGAGAAGGAAAAGTAGGTTCTTATCCTGTCATCTGTTCTCCCTGGGAATTCATTCCATGTTTACTTATAATTTAGTACTTTATTTTTACAGAACTTCAGGAACCTGCTACAGATAAGTTAGAAGAAGCTGCTGTTCTTCCATCAGTGGGGCTACCAAGCAATCCTGTCGAGATAGAGATTGAAACCCCAGAGCAGATGAAGAAAAGAGAGAGGAGGTAAGAACAAGGAGAGGTGGAGGGCTGGTAAAGGCAGAGGTTAAAAATTCCCTAAGTCTTGACTGTCATTGACTTGCTCAGAGTGAAAATCCCTACTTGGTGCATACCGTTGAGTTGGAATGATGCAGGATTGTGGGATGAAGAACAGTTTACACACTGACAGTTCTACCAAAAATCTTCAGTGGAAGTTTGCAGGATTGGAGGAGGCTTTTCAGCTTCCTTGAAAATCAAGTGTGTAACTTCATTGTGTTTTACTGTCTCCATTTCCCATGAAGGGACGGCAGGAGATCTCTGCAAGGAGAGCTGTGGATGAATGACATTGTATTACTGCAAAACCTTAACAGCCTGTGCACATAGCCAGTCACTAAACCTCTCCTTAAGTGTGCACAGAAGATTCTCTGGGATGAGTCTCTGTGAACTGACCCAGTTCAGGAATCTAGAAAGGCAGGTCCACAGAAATCCCACAACCCCTTTCTTTTGTAATCTTCTGCAGAGAAAAAAGGAAAGCTGAGTTTGAGATGTACCTTCGGAGAATGATGAAACGTTTCAGCAAGGAGGTTCGTGAGGACACGCATAAGGTATTTGACACAGAGAACCATGGCAGAGAAGAAATTGAGTATAAAGGTGTCTGAACTGATCTGTAATTAAAAGAAACTAATTTTTATAAAATAACATTGAGCCACGACTAGAAGTCAAAAATAAAGAGGCTGTATTCCTGACAGATGCTAAATTGTGAATTGGAAACAACAATGCCTGTGTTAGTAAAATTCTAACTCAAAGCATATGTGAGTAGGATGTATATTTTTTCATAGAGGGATATTTTTTATTCTGTCAGGATTAAACTGCCAGTCAGAGGAGGAGACACTTGCAAAGACTTCAGTGCTTTACTGTCTTCTGAAGACAGCACTGAAGCTTGGGAGGCTTCATTGTCACCTCTCTCTATTAAAAGGAGCTGTGAAGTATTCCTTGTCTTTACCATGGACAGTAGTTCCAATAAGGAATACCTCTTGTGAATTCACTTTCAAACTCTTCTCTCTCAGGTTCACTTGCTGTGTTTATTAGCAAACGGTTTCTATAGGAACAGGATCTGCAGCCAGCCAGATCTCCTCGCCATCGGTCTGTCCATCGTCCCCGCCCGCTTCACCCAAGTACCCGCGGGCCAAGTGGGCCTTGTCTACCTTTCCAACTTGGTGAAATGGTAAAACTCTCTTCTTCTGCTGCCACGGAGAATGTAGAGCTAGGGTTCAGGGAGAGGGGTAACTGTAACTAACAATTTTCTTTGTGTTTTTTTATTTTATATACAAGGGTGAGAGGGGCTGTCTTTCTTAGAGAAGGAGAGGGTGAACTCAGAAGTTTAAGAATACAGTTACAAACACTGGATAATGTACAGGTGTCTTGTATTTCAGGTTTGTTGGAACCTTCACTGTTGATGATGAGCTTTCCACTGAAAAAGGAGAGCCCCTTCAGTCAACGCTGGAGAGGAGGTTTGCCATCTATGCTGCACAGGATGATGAGGAGCTTGTTCATGTAAGAGACTGGGAAGTGCAGGGCTGGTTGGTGACTTTGGATGCTGTGTGTCAGGTCATACACAAAGTGGTGGGAGGGGTGGATTTGAAGAAAGCAGATTGGTGACTTAAGTGATTCTGTAGCTTTTTATTTTCTTGTATTTTTATCTCGAGACCTCCTGTGATTAAATTACTCAATTAAAACTGTTTTTCAGATATTTTTAATTATTCTGCGAGCGTTGCAGCTGCTGTGTCGCCTCGTGCTGTCTTTCCAGCCTATTCCTCTCAAGGAGACAAGACCAAAGGTAGTTTCTGTTGTTTGTGTGGAATAAGGAATAGGTCACTGATTTAGTAGAATTAAAAAACTTTCTGGCTATTACAGCTTGCAGTGAATTGATTACTGCATGAACCAGGGTTCTGTCCACATTGCAGAAAATGCACACCCTTAATTTTTAATTTTCTTATTTAGAAAAGCCACTCCTTTTCTGTGTTTCAGCAAAGATTTCTTAATGATTCAGTGGGTTTACATTTCTTTAAAACTTAGATGGCAACTCTTGCTGCATGAGTACACCTCTCTTCAGCCAGTTGCCTGACGTTTTCTAAAGAATTGACTGTGCCTGCCGACCTTTGGTCTGCATGAACCTTAGGCTGATTTCAGTCTTTTTTTTTTTTTTTTTACCATATTCTTAGCTGTGGTGATAAAAGTGACCTGGCCTGTTTCTCTGCAGGGAAAGAACTCATCCAAGAGGCTGTCTCACAGCAGTACCTCTGAGGGGCAGGAGAGTTCTGCCACAACACCCAAAGCTGTGGCAAAAAAATGCCCCTGCAAAACAGCCAAGCAGGATGAGAAATCCTCAGAGGGCAAAGAAAACAACAAGGAACCAAAGAAACCCTGGTCAAAAACTGCCCAGACCGAGAGGACACACAAGTCAAAGCTGACTAAAGGCAGCCAGGAACAGAAGGAATCAAATAATGAGACCAGCTCAGCAGAAAAAGATGTACCAGTCAGGGCCAAGAACGACCGCCGGAGGCGAGTGGCCTCCAAAGTGTGTTACAAGGAAGAGAGTGGAAGTGATGAGGGCAGTGCTTCGGAATTTGAGGTTTCAGAGGAGGAGGAGAGTGATGTCTCTGATGAGGATTTTGAAACTGTCCCTAAAAGGCGGAGGAGCTCCCAGAATTCAAAGCTGACAACTATAAAAAGGTCAAAAACTGAGACTTCAGAAACAAGGCTATCAAAAAATTCGTGTGGAGCTGAGACTAAGCCAGCAAGAAGTACAACTCCAGCCTTGCCTCACGCACAGAGGAAGAAAAACAAAATAATTTCTAGTGATGAGGATGATGGACAGCAGGACGTGAGGAAAGCAATGGGCACAGACCAGTGGCTGGAGGTTTTCCTTGAGCCTGAGGACAAGTGGGTTTGTGTAGACTGTGTTCATGGCAATGTGGGCCAGCCCCAGCTGTGCTTTGCACATGCCACAAAGCCTCTTTTCTATGTTGTGGGATTTGACAACGATGGGAGTGTCAGAGATGTGACACAAAGGTATGATCCAGTGTGGATGACCTCAACAAGGAAGAGCCGTGTGGACCCGGAGTGGTGGGAAGAGACACTGCAGCCCTATGAAAGTCCCTGTGTGGAGAGAGACAAGAAGGAGGAAAATGAGGTAAATGGCAATAGGTTGTTCAGGACACATAGTGCCAGGAGTCCAGTCCCTGGATTCTCATTCAGACAAAAAGCATTAGAAATCTCTTTCTGTGAGGAACGAGGTTTGTATTTGTACATGAAATGTTGAGATTGAACATGCTTTAAAGAGAATATATGGTGATAAATTTAAATAATATTAAATGATGGAGATTGTTCAAACAAGTTTGCATAGCAGAAGTACTGCACATCTTGTGCTGGAAACTTACTAGTAAAGTTTGTGTAGTGTTTAGCATTACTCTTCTTGGAGGGAGTTTTTTAAAATAGATCAGTGTGGACATCTAAATATTTATTTGCGGCAAGAATGTTTTGGTCTGTTGGCTCATCTGATAACTTCCTGCTGGTTTTTCTTTGGTTCATATTATAGTCATTCTTACTTTCTTACAAAGGTGGCGATAAAGTTGTAAAATTACTCTTTTCTTTACAATTCTTACAGTTTCAAGTGAAGCTTCAAGATCAACCTCTACCAACAGCAATTGGAGAGTACAAAAACCACCCTCTCTATGCACTGAAGAGGCACCTCTTGAAATTCCAGGCCATCTATCCTGAGTCAGCTGCTATCTTAGGGTACTGCAGGGGAGAGGCTGTCTACTCCAGGTTAGTTTGCACCTATTGTCACCTGCATCTGTGATCTTTGTAACAAACTGGAGAGTTAATTTGCATGATGGTATCAGCAGTAGTCTCAGGCTACATGCATAAACAGATGAGGCATTTGGCTGCTCTGACAGCATTTGTGTATCACTAAAATATAGCTTTCTTATTAATTCTAATATGATGAGTTTATTGTGGATCTGTTTCTGATGACTTGAAAACTCTTATATTTGCTTCTTTCTGGCCTTTTCAGAGACTGCATACACACACTGCACTCCAGAGACACTTGGCTGAAGCAAGCTCGAGTGGTGAGGGTTGGAGAAGTGCCTTACAAGGTAAGAGGGTTTGACTTCCTCCTGTGCCCTCCATCTACCCTCTAAAGCTCAAGCTCAGTTCTGTTTTGGTTTTTGTCTTCTGTCTTGCCAGCAGATGTAGATTTCACACTTGCTTGAGTGGTTTGTGGTATCTGTACTGTCCACCTGCTGTGCCTATAGTTCCTACCTGCTGCTCAAAGCCCAGCTGTGTTTTTTTCCCACCCCAAGGGTATCTGGCAGAACTGCTCCCTTTTCACTTTCTCCAAAGGCATCCCAGTGTTTTATATTCACTGCTGGATCTCTGCCTGTTGGATACAGGTGCCGTGGGTTGTCATTGAGAGGCAATGGATCTTGAAGCTAGGAAATAGCATTTCTGCTCTCCCAGAACCTTCTCCTTCGGTGTCCTAGGAAAATCTGAAACCACTGTCAGCTCTTTGTGGTGTTCCAGGCCTGGTTGTTGTATTTGCAGATGGTGAAAGGATTTTCCAACCGGGCGAGGAAGGCGCGCCTGGCAGAGCCGGCGAACCGGGACCGGGAGGACCTGGCGCTGTTTGGCCGCTGGCAGACTGAGGAGTATCAGCCTCCCATAGCAGTGGATGGAAAGGTAGCTGGGAAGGCAGAGGGCTGGTGCTAAAGCAAGTGGTTAGTGTGCAGCTCTGGGCTTTAATTTTCCTGAAGTTGCATGTTTCAGATGTGAGATCAGTCAGTAATACCTGGATTCAGGATTAAGAGTTCAGAAGTACATGTTCACTGGAGGAAATAGTCAAAACTCTACTGAGGCCTTTCTTTCACAAGTTTAGGTAGTGAGTGCAGACTGCTAAAGTCAAAATTTTGTTGATCTGATCTTCCTAGCCCATGTTTTGCCTTGCTAATTCTCTGCATTACAGCCAGAGTAACAAAGCTTGGGCAGAGGACATAGCTAGGAGATAACCATGCAGCTAAAATCTAGGCTTGTACCTTGTCATGTGAATATTAATTGAATAATGGAGTGGAATGTAGCAGGTCAGGAGGGGAGAGTCCCTGAGTTGCAGCAGGTGTTTTCAACTGTCTCCAGAAAGCAGGATTATCACCATCTCCCTTTAATCTTGCCATAACAGGTTCCTCGGAATGAATATGGAAATGTCTATCTCTTCTTGCCATCCATGTTACCTGTTGGCTGTGTACAGCTGAAACTTCCAAACCTGAACAGAGTGGCACGAAAACTGAACATTGACTGTGCTCAAGCCATCACTGGATTTGATTTTCACGGTGGCTACTCACACCCAGTGTATGTAAAAGCTGCTTTGTTGATGTCCTGCAGAAATTGTATATCTTGTGTTAAGGGCAGCATGTGACCTGTTACACACTTTGATCCTTTGAGACAGACAGTTCTGTCAGTATTCTGTAGCTTTTGGGCTGGGTCAGCAGGCATTTGTTCCCTTTCTTTTTCCTTCTCATAGCTGACAGGGGATTGTGTTCTCCTTCCTAGTACTGATGGGTATGTGGTGTGTGAGGAGTATAAAGAGGTCCTTGTTGCTGCCTGGGAGAATGAACAAGCAGAAATAGAAAAGAAGGAGAAGGAGGTGAGAATTATTTTTGCAGCTTCCTTATTGTTATATTTACAATTTCATTGAAACTGGGCAGTCAGACGGTGGATTGTGTAAGCAACGAGGCTTTTATGGTGACAATTTAAAAATCTTAAAGCTTTCCTTTTCCATGTGCATAAATACATTGAAACCCACAGTAGTAAATTTTTCTCTTTCCCATAACAATGCCCCACAGAAGCGTGAGAAAAGGGCTCTAGGGAATTGGAAGCTGCTGACAAAAGGACTTCTCATCAGAGAGAGACTGAAGCAACGCTACTCCATCAAGGTATCCTGCATTTCTGTTAGTCATTTCTTTTTCTGGAGGTTATTTTAACTGTAGAGTAAAATTTCTGGAGTGTAGTTGCTCAAAAGTATTCAGCTAGTCAAAAAAACTAGGCCAGAAGCTTAGTGTGGTCATGTTCATCAGAGATTTGTTAATGTTTAACAAGGAATGAACGTTTTTAATTTCATTACTATTTTCTGTTTTGTTGTACCCCTTCCTCGATCTGTTCCTCCAAGCCAAGCATGTAGTTAACAGGATGAGAGTGGGGCACCACTTTTTCTTTTGGTTAGATGTTTTAGTTCCTAATTTTTTCTGCAAGGATAAAGGTGAAAAGTCCGATCTTTTTAATTGGTTTTATTTTTCCATTGTAAAAAATGCTTGTGTTGCAAGAATGTTTGGTGTTCAGAAATAGAAGCACTTTGGGTGGGAAGCCCAAACCAGAGCAACCAACTTCTGTAAGGTCACTCAGTGTCACTGTGACCATAGGCATGCCCTTTTACAAAGTGGCAATTACAAGCGATTCTTAAGAGTGACTTTCTGATTTTCACACCTGTTTTTTCCAGAATGAGCCATCAGCACCTGAGACAGAGAAAGAAGGGGGATTCTCTTCTGATGAAGAAGGAGCTGCAAGCTCAGAGAGCGCAGTGGGGAACACAGACATTTATTGGCCCCAAAATCGCCAGCTAGAGAAACAAGGAGAGGAAACAACCAAAAAGAGCAAGCGAGAAAAGAGAGGAGAAGCAGCTCAGTTGTTCCCTTTTGAGAAATTGTGATGACAGGATTTTCAGATGCAGGAAAAATTGTCATGATAAAAGAATTCTTTACCAGTTAGGGCCATAGGGTCTTCCTGTGCACTTGTGTTTCTGAGCTGTCAGGGACCAACCTAATTCAGCATCCAGTCTCCTTTGAGATCACAGCTGTCACTTAGTATTAGATTCTTCCTTTTGCCTTGGACTTGGGTGAAGAGCTGCACTTTCTGAGATCATTTTGCTTTATTGGGGTTTGTGCTCTCTTTTGTATCACTCAGCACTAATAGTTGAGTTTCCTGAGGCACTCCTGTCATTAGCAATCTCTTTTCCCATTTTTGTTGTTTTCATTTTCCCCTGCTTGCTCAGAACTAAAGCAGCCAGCTGCTTTTTACCTGTCTGCAGAGAGGTGGCCAAAGGAATGCTGATGCCTGCTTTGATCCATAGCTTTCCCAAATCAGTGGTGAGGTAGAGTTCTGGCCTTTCTGTCTCAAGGGGAAATACTTCCTTTAAGGTCTAAAAAACCCCCCACAATTAGAATATGGAGGAATGAATGCTTTCTAAAGAATACTTGCATTTTGTAATGTAAGTTTGGCTTCTCAGCCTACCATCTTCCTTTACTCAGAAATCTTGTGCTCTGGAAGGGAGAAGCCCTGTCCTTACTACAAACTTAAGGTTCAATATGCCTTCTTAAGCAATTTGAATATATACATATTTCCTTCTGTTGCTTATCAAGATCTATTCTGGAGCAAAACATGTAAAACTGGCTAATTCTCACTGCTGGAACAAAATTCACTAAAACCACAGAATTGTTATCCAGTACCATAGCATTAAACGGTTGAGAGAGGAATGTTAAATCTACATAAGCTTTTCCTGTACTTCTGTTGTAGAAATACTGATCTGTCTGGCAATATTATCTAAATTCCACTGACACAGTCTCTTCAGAAATGGAGGGAAAAACAATTTAGTCATTGCTGGACGATGTCATGGAGACTGAAATGTAAGAAAATGGCTTTAATGTAATTATGTTAATAAAAAAATTATTTTTGTACTGTATTTGTAGATCAGAATAAAGTTTGAAAAAAATAATATGTTGTCTCTTTTTGGAAAGCACATGTAACCCCCAGTCTCCTTAAAATAGAGAGGCTGTAGCAGTCAGGTTGAACCATCATATTTTTGAAATAATCTTAGGCAAGGAAGTGACTGATTTCTTTGGTCAGTAATGGGGAGTAAACCCATGGCAGGCTGACAGCAGTACACAGACCAGAGAGCAGTTTCCCAAAACAGGGAAATATTTGCAGGACAAACAAGACTCAATAGGAAACTAGTTCTTCTGGAAACTACAAACTACCTGGACATTATTCCTGCGTGTGACAGACGCAATACTTGAATTTAATAGAAAAGCCTACAGACCAGCCTTTTGAAAACTGTATTTTATTAAATATACAAAAGCTCAGCACTTCTGTAGAAAATTGTTGCTTCATTTCCAATAAGTAATGCTGGTTAATGTTCAATGGGCAAAACAGCAGCAGTTCAAGCCCAGGTTCTCTCCCTTTGGAGCACAATTCCTGACTGCTGGAGCATGAGCTGGTGTTGCTGAGCAGCAGAAGAGTGTGCAGCAGCACTGCCATGTACCAGTGCATATACAAGGCCATCTCCTGTACCCACCCTTCACTCTGCTCCTGCTTTCACCAGCAGGACACAGCTGTGAGACCACACTGACAATATTCAAGTACCAAAAGAATGAAAGTAATTAGGATTAATAAAGTAATTACAAATTCTCAAAACATTTATGATTTCTAACTCAGATTTCTATTTCAGTACCATTTCTAGCAAATGTTTGCTTCTATGTTTGTTCAAGTCAAGTTCCTTTGGTACAGAGAACACTCCTCTGATGGTCATAAATAGATTTTGCAATTGAAAACATTTTTGTACTGAACTGTGTATACTTAGAAAAACCTCCAGGAGGACCCATCTGGAAGTCAGACTCCAGCTTGGAGAGACTTAAGAGGGTATCTAACCTCAATTGGTTAGATAAACAGGAGCCATCACAACACTACAAGGCATGATACAAAACTAACAATTTAGGCTACTAAAATATAAGGAAATGAATCAGGCAAAAATGTTTCCATATTTAATTTCACAGAGTATGCTCATTGTCCTTACTAGGTGAAATTAAAGAAAGGAACAGTATACAGAGCAAAAAATCCAACTATTTTAAAGACTACACATTCAGTTATAAAAGTCAATGTTGTTTCAAGGCAGTAGGTTTTTTATTTACAGATGAATGACCTCTGAGTATCCCTTTAAGTGCAAACTGAAGTGAAATTTTTGAAACGTTTCTGCAATGATATAGTCCAGGCTATCATTTGGATGCTTAACCAAGAACAACCTCAGATACTTTTAAAACCTGGGGGAAATCAACGAGTCCTGATAAATCTACCCAACCCCAGAGCACTGATAACCTGGCCACTCATTACCTCAATGACTTTCAAAATCTTCAGTCCAAAATAAGAGGGTTTACTTGTATGAATATTGTGTGGAATTCACCTAAGTTATGTTTTCCCTTTGAACACATACACTGCCAAGCACATCAGCCAAACACATCAGTGTTCCTGACCGTGCAAACAAGAAAAGGCAGCAGAGGGAGGGTTTGTCAGACAGGCAGGCACACGCATTTCCTAAGGACATCTAACCAAGGTCCATGGGATGCAGCTGGCACTTTCTCTAAAACACACAAGGTGCCCCACCCAGCAAGGACTTGCCAGGTCTCAAATCAGGGGGAATTACTAAGCAGTAAGAGGTACAAATCTGCTTGTTCACTAACTTACCATCAATACACACACTCAAAATGCTTTTTTCCTCAAAGCTGGTGCCACTGACTTCCCACAAACATCATCTTATGGTCCTATGGATAACGTGTACCAATAACCACATTCAAGCCCCATCCCCAGCTTCCAGTGCTCGCTGCTGAGCTGTGATTTGCTGTAAGCTTGCTGCAGGAACCAGGCAGAAATGCACTTGGGAAGGTTCTAACCAGGACTCAGCTCAAGACCCAAGCACCTCCTTGTCACTGCTGCTTCTTGGGCGGCACACGGGTTCTGGCCAGCACGATGGGGACAATGGAGAGCAGGGCGAGGAGCAGGGCCCAGAGTGGGCGGTAGAAGAGCCAGCCCGCGGCAATGGTCAGCAGGGACAGCGAGCTGGCCACACACACGGCAAACGCCTTCAAGCCAACGTTAACCAGGTCCCTCACCACAGGAAACCAGTCCACTGCAGAGAGAATTAAACATGCCATGAAGTAGTTGGCAAGAGGACAGTTTAACAGAAGTTTGATTCGTGCCTAAGATCTGCACCCCAACAGCTGCAATCACAAGAAAGACTCAAACTATTTATCAAGAGCACTGGATTAGCCATTTCAGCAGAGCATCATCAAAACATTTGATCATTAAGCAACAGCTAAACATATAAGGCAATGCTATCCTCATCTCTTCACACAGAAAGGAATCCAAAATGAAGTCTGAAGATTTGTTCAAGGCTTGAGAGGCAGAGGAGACAGCCCTGCAGCTATGGAACAAGCCTAGGGCAACTGATACAAGCTGCTAGCACAGAAATTATTTTCTGGCAACAATAAATGCTGGAGCAGCATGTATATGGATAAATAAATCAGAAAAAAAAAAAGTTCACAGCTACAAAGTGAATAATATGTTTGATGTCTGAACTTTATGCAAGTGTGAGGCATTGTCCTGTTTTTCTGTTTCTACTTCAGCATTTTTCCACATTAAAAGAATAAACAAAAGTTTTCTTTGCTGTTTGTTTACAATAGTGTAGAATAACAAGACACAGAAACGTATTTCTATACAACTGCTGATTAGGCCGTGTTGGGGGAACCAGCTGTGTGTGGGTGCAGAAAGTAATTGTATTGCAGCAATTGAGTTAGATTTGAAAGAACCAGCCCAACATGTGCTTCAGCTTTTCATTTTGTTAAGCACTGGGCTGGGATCTTCTGAGACTGGCAAAAGATATTTGTGTGGGGTTTTCTGATATTCACAAAGCAACCACTTGATTTTGAGGTCCTGTTTACCTGCAGCTGCCTACAGTGCCTTTTCAGATCAAATCAAATCTGGGTTCAAATCAGATTTATCCTGGTCTCCAAATGAATTAACTCTAGAGGTTGCAATCTTATCTGGATCATTTTACCTTTCTGTGAGAAACTTACCTAATGTGTAAAAGATTCGGGTCATCAGGCTGATGCCCACAAACATTGAGAACCAGCCAGCTGCACGGAGGGCCCAGGTCTTCATGGTGTTACTCTCATGCTCCTTCTGAAACACCTCCTGAAAGCAAACACCATCACATGCAGCCTGTTTCTTGTTCTTTTTCAAGATACTCTTAATTCCAGTATATTATGAGCCAATCAGAGCCAAGAGCATTTTAGGAGTACAATTTCTGTTGCAGAAAATACATTGCAGCTCATTCTGCAGGGTCTGTGCAGTGTGGCAGTACACTGCAATAGACTGAACAATGCAGCATGGGGGAAAACGGCACTTTTCCAATTAAAACAACCTAAAAAGCACCATTCAACACTACTCACAGGCAGAAAGCACACAGGTTTTGCTGCAATTGGATACATTCAAAATTACTGTGGAAAAAAGACATTAATAAGTAACTGTAATAAAGAAGGAAGAGTTTGACTTCACTCTGAAGGAAGAGAGAAGAAGCAACAATATCCAGTGAGGGCTGAGGGAAAGACAGCAAGCTGGATGCAGGGAAGAAAAGCTAAAAGGTATGTGTGCATTTCATCAGACAAAGCAAACCACCTCTTTGCAAGAATTCTGATTAAGATTCTTTTCAAAATGGGTTGTGTGACCCTCTGGCTCAACACAATGTCCACAAGAAGATGGCTGGGACATTAGAAAGCACTAAAGAGATGTGTAAGACTGATTGACTACTTGCATGTACAAGTACTCAATGCATTATTTACTTGTAACCAGTTAATTTTCAATGAAACAAAATTCTGTCTAATGAAGATTCAGACCTTAGAGCAGAGGGTTGATTCTATTGCCACTCTTTCAAATCAAAACAAGGCCTTTTAAACTGCTTCAGGGAGCACCTGTAAACTCTTGACGTGTTTTTTGTTGCAGCAGGACATGCAACAATCATTAATAGAAACAAACCTACTAAAATATGTAAATGAATCACCAAATTGCTGGAGCGTGCAGAATTTATTGAAGCAAAATACTCTGCCTGAAGGTTCTTTCTCAGCCAAAATAGTAATAAACATTTCAAACAAGCCTAAACTCCTGTTATTAGGAGCTGAAGAGAGAATAACTCTTATGGTTTATTTAATTAAACCCTGATTTTTACTATTTTTACATGAGACCTGATCAAAAGCATGTGCTTGCATGTGTAAGTGGGAAACAACCAAGGAGCAAATAAAAACAAAGTGAGAAGGCACAGAAACAATCTTTAAAGTAAACAGACAGAATATGCAGAAACCTGGAAGCAAACACAGGCTACAACCTGTTGTCCAAGAAGGAGAGAAAAGCCAATGTTTACATGAGCATCTCCTCCTCTAGAGCAGGTCTGAAGGAGAGTAAGAGCTGCCTCTTCTGCTCCTTCTGCATCACCACCTCGAGTTTTAACCCTTGGCCAGAAGAGTGTGGTATCTCACCTCCACAGAGAGGTCCCCAGGGTACAGAATTTCCAGAACATCTCCAGACTTGGTGTGATAAGGAATCAGCTGATCACCTCGCTGCCGAGCAATCACAGTCACCTTGGAAGAGAGGGAAAAACATTTACTGGTTGCTGAGTTGGGAACAGAGCTTGCAAAAAACAGAAACAGCTGAAGACTCACCTTGTCAGCAGAGCCCAAACGGGGATCATCTCCACTCAGACCTGCATAGAAGAAAGAGACACGGAGGTCTCCCACCTACAAACAAGAGAAGACTGGAAGTCAAGAAAGATTGTTTTACAAATGGGAATCACAGAAAAGACAACTCAGCACAGGAACATCATTTATTTATCAACACTTTTTCTGAAAATTTATGCCAAGCAAGAGATAGCCAGAATGATTTCCAAACTGTCCTTTTTTCAGGGTTAGCTGTCAGCTGAAACAGGAGAGCTCAAATGCTGCTTTGTAATATCCCCTCTGATTAAGCTGCAGGAGCACATGATATGCTTTGTTCATCCCTCATCATTCCATCTTTTGGCAAAACAAGGCAGGCAGCACAATCTGACAACAAGCTGTTTTGACTGTACTCCCCAATACATCAAGGCAGAGGTGGAATCCACCTCCCAGCACCATCCCTTTCCATTTAAAAGCACAGCAGACTCGAGAAAACAGAGAATAAAAGAGCAGACTGGAAGCTTTCTGCAAGAGAAGCACTCATTCTTTAGGGCTGCACTAAGGAAGTCATCCTATGTGATGGTCTGCACTCCATTTTCTATACATTTAAACAGAAATGGGACATGTCCCAATTCCTTCTTCACACACAAGTAATCACTGCTTTAGTTTATCTTTCCCATCTTACTTCTGGACGCCTGGGGTTGTCGCTGTGATAGAAATAATCTCCTCCTCGGGTAACATCAGCATGGGGATCCTCCAGGTGTGACAAGCTCAGCTGCTTGAAATCATCAATTTTATCCACGAGACCTAAGCAGAATAAAGCAACAAGCTGAGGCTCAGTGTCTAATCTGGAATGGTCAAATTGCTGGCTGGCTTCTTGATTATCACTTGACTTGACAGCTATTGTGGAAAGAACCAAAGTCCACTGCTGATGCAACAGCAGACAAAAAGCCAGTACAAAACAACCCTTACCCTTGGAAAGAACAAAGCTGCCAACCTGGACGTTAGAAGAAACAGCAGTGAAAGACTCCACAGCCATGGCACTGAGAAACAGAGAGTCACTGATTAGTCCCATAATTATGATCAAACTCTTGATTTGCAGTATGTAATATATAGCACAGAAAAGGCAAACATCAGGAGAAACTCAAAGAGCTAAATGACTGTCATGATGTGAAAACAAAACCATCAAGAAACTGTCCAGACTGCATACTGTTGGAGCCATTAAAATAAGTTAAGGCATCACTGCCCTGAGCTGCTCTTATTTCTACATGCCTTCGTTCCCCAGCTACCAAAAGAACAGCAATTTCCATCTACTGTACTCTGTTATGAAACCAGTCATTTAGCTTTCCTCTCTGATCAGATCCAGAGACAGAATTCAGAGGGACTGTGCCAGATGGTACCTCACCTGGGGTTTTTGTGTCCAATTTCTCGATCAAAGTTTCTGCTGTTCACAACTTCTGATTTCCACTCTGTATCTAAACAGAATCATAAGAAGGTTGAGTAAAAGACACTCAGATCTCAATTACTGAAGACACCTCTCAATTCATCAGTTCTAGGTTACACTTCTAGTAATACTGTTTACATCAATGTTTGTGATAGTCTGCACTGATACATAGATCCATACTCCTAGCATATTAACAGGGAATGGCAGGATTTAGGGTGAAAAAACGTGGTTTTGGGATAAAATTGTAACTCAACTTTGCTCAGCTTTGCTGTTGGCATCTTCTATGATCAGGCTTTGATTCCTGGCTCCACTCTCTGGGAATAAGCTGGTTTTGTGATAACAAGGAGCAGGGGGAAAAGGGAGAGGAGTCTCGAGAGAACCTGAGCTCAGGAAAGGTTGAGTCCAAATGTGTTTTGCCAACACACAAGTCAATAATTAAATATTTATTTTAACTGACAATAAACTTTCCCTAAGGTGTTTTGCCCACGATGGTAATAGGAAAGCCATCTCCCTATCTTTCTTTCAACCTATCCTTCACTTCTGTCACTCCCAATTTCTTCCCCACTCCTGCTGAGGGGAGAATAATCAAGCAGCTGTGTGGGTCCACAGCTGGCATACACAGATATTTATGGGACAGAATCCATCAATCTTGAGAGGACAGCTGGTTTTTTGGATGGCATTTCTCTTTGTTCCTTGTCATGTGAGCCTGTTTTTAATGGCTCACAACCACCAGCTTTGCCCCCTATGTACCTCCATGATACAGGGTCCCCATGCAATACTCAGCTGAGTATTTTTATATGATCACACCCAGAAACTGCTGCACGCCCACGTTCCACATCCATGTGCTTTGATCAGAGGTAAATGAAGCACAGAGACCAATCTCCAAATACATGATGACTCAGAGTACTTTTCTGCCACTGGGTAGATCAGAGTAACGCACACAGCTCTGCTCCTGCCAAAAAAGCACTTGGCAAAAGCCACAGTGCACATCAGAAGGTGCTGGTGGTTTTCACTGGCTGGTATCAACATCTAAACAGATTCTCAACAGGCTCCCTTATAGGCTGGAGCTACCCTGCTTTTCCCTTCTCTTCTGCTCACAGCTCACATATTCCCATTTACTCCATGCCTGAAGTGTAATCTCAGGTGTGGCTTCAAACACACTCCCATCTCTGCCTATAGGACCTTATGGGCCCTATTTCTGGAGCAACCTATCCTTGGATGTTCCTCTGAACTTTTAGAGGTTTCAAAACAAAAGTCAGATTTTCTATAGCCCTTGCTTGCTGACACCATATTTCCTTTCACCTCAGTTTCCTCAGGAAAGGGAGGGTCTGTCATTTAAGAATGAGAAATTTATTTAGGAAAATAAAAGGAAAAAAAATAATTGCTTAGGAAAGAGAATTTTTGCTTATTTCTTCACATTCCTTTCTTTTCTTTCCCAAGAAGAAAACAGAGGTTTTACAACAAAAAATCAAAATATGCACACACACAAAAGTCCAAAGTTACATGCATAAAAGGAAAGGGGCTTTCTGTTGATCAACTTACCGTATGAATACTTTGTCTCTTTCTTAATCTCACCATTCTCCTCATATTCCCTGCAGAGAAAAAGGGCTGGGATGAGAACCAAAACAGTGTGCACACACCCCTGCTCAGGGCAGAATATAACTCACCAGTGAAATGCACAGACAGATCTCTGGCAACACAGCCTTATCTTTATACATAACCTAACTCTTCTCTGAACTATCTGTTCTGAAGACATTTTCTGTACCAGGAGAAAACTATAAGCAAATGTTCAACAGCCACAACCTTTTAATCCCCATGCTTTGAACAAGGAGGTGCTGACTAGACTGATGAGGAACAACCAGAATTAAATACAGTGAGACAAGCTGGCCCAAATCAGGTCTCTAACAGATGCTGCACCATAAGCATGCTAAAATAAAGGAATTATTTTTAACACCTTCACAACCTCTGACCCTTTTTTTGTGACATGAAAGACATTTGGAACATGAATTCTGTGCAGTCACACCTAGATAATAGCTAGTAACATTCATACTACCATCCATGGGATTATTAGCAATAGCAGAAATGTTTTCCCTATTCGGGTTGCAACTACTAGCAGAGCAGTTAATATCTCTCAAGGAAATTAAAGTGATTCTCTAAAGGAAAAAAAAAACCAAAAATTCTCCATAATTCTCTTGCTATAAAGAATTTTTTTATTTGTTTTTTCCTTCGGTATAACGAAAAAAAATTGTGATAGGATCTGGTAACACAACAGCCTCATAAACTACTTTTAAAGATTACTTTCACTTACTTGGAATCTTCATATTCAACCCACTGGTACATTTCCACTTTACGCTTAAGTTTGACAGCTTGGATGGAGAGCCCATAGCTGGGGTCAAACAAAGGCTGTGCAAAAATTAAAGAAAATACAAGTCAGTCTAAATGCTGTACCTCACAACCACAAACACTCTACCACTGAACCCATTTACATCCCTCACTGTACAGCTAGCACTATCTGACACACAGATGAACACAGTATAAATGTTATGAAAGACAAAAAGGAATGTCTCTGGCAAATTTGACCAGAAGAATTATCATCAAAAGTTACTGCCATAGTGCAGAAAAAAAACAGAACTGCTGACTATGGGTTTACAGCCTTCAGTGTTTAAAGAAGGAGATTCTGTTTTGCTGCAAGGTGCTGGTTACGTTCTGCAATGTGGGAGGATCATGGAAAATGTCACCACTACTGAAAAGTCAGAACTTGCAGAGCTCCTGTGCTGCAAGAGTCTGAAGACTTAACAATACCATAAACACACAACAGGTTCCCTACACAAATGCCAATTGAAATTATCCACAAAGGGCAACTTGAGGGTAAACACAGCTAGAGCTGGCATTGGCTTGGAGAAGGGAATGCAAGGCCATTCAGCATCTCCCTGATTCTGGGCCAAGAACCAGAGCTAGAGTGGTAGCTGGCAATGCTTAGAGGAAGAGAAAAGAAATGCATCTTTTCCTGGATATCAAACAAAACTTTAATTGGCAAAGACTTTTCCTTCCCTCCAAGCTTGAAACACTCATTTCTACAAGATACTATTTTATTTACCTTAGATGTACTCAGAGCTCCAGCTAAGTGCACCAGTCTCCCCTCATTCTGCTGGGAGATACTGTGGATGCTGTCAAGAGGGACCACAAGAGAAAGCCCCTCATCGAGAGACTTGGCTGTCCTTAAAGCTCGTCCCTGCAATGAAAAAAGCAGAAATCAAGTGGTAGAGAATCAATGTCACAGCAGTATTTTGTGAACAAGGTTAGCAGACAAATGAACTGATGACCATAAGGAATGCTTGTATATTCAGTCCAAGGAGTATTTTTAAAACACTCTTGTAGTTCTCCATTCTCTGTGTCTGAGCCAGTTTGGGGCAGTATTTCTAACCCAGGCAGCAGGACCATTAAGCTTCTCAAACAAACCCAAATTCTTCCTACAAGGGTCCAAACTTACTGCTCTTCATGTCTCACCTTCATTCTGGAATAACTGCAAAAAGGATACCAATTATGGTTCATTTTTCTACACACCTATACTGACTCCTTGGCAGAAGTCTTCCCTGCCTTATCATCATATCCTGATGTGCTTTTTTTTCTGCAAAGTCATCTAAATTTGGAGTAGTTATTTTCCCTCTTGTAGAGGTATGAAAGGAAGTCTCTAAGTGAAAATCTACAGAATTCTGCTCTCCACTCCAAAACTGCCAAAACAAGTATGTTTTCAATGGTAACAGTGTTAAGATTCCTAGCTTACTTTTATATTTTTTAATATAAAACCAAGAAAACTGAGAAAAATTGAATAAAAAACACCCCCAATTTTGCAACACAAGGTATGAATTTCTTTAAAGTAATTATAACAACACTAGAAATGAGGACCTTTTGTTATATCAAGAAAAAAGAGAAGGCTGGAAAGGAATGTGGCTAGCTCATGCAACCCTCTTACCACAGGCTGTTTCATCATCAGTTTACAAGCTTTTGATCTTATCTCTCATCACACACTGCTACTGTCTCTTTTACACCTAGTTCCAGAGAAATACTACCCTGTGACCTGTGATTTCACTATTCTGTTATATCCCATAAGCAGCAGGTGCCCAGATAAAACCTCCTCACGGATCAAGTAATAAAGCTGTGTACAAACACTGACAGTATTGCACTTACTTCGTTGGTAAAAAGAAGGTAGAAAGCCAGAAGAAATGTCACAAGTCCAATCAACATGCCTGCAGAAGTCTCACTGAGCCGCTCCAGGAACCCTGGTTTGGGCTCACTTGTGATTTTAACATGTTCTTTTCTGCTGCCTGTGTCAGAGAACTGTTGAAAATAAACAAAAAATGCAACATTTGTGTGAGAGGGGAAAGCATTCAGTTTCAAAACAAGTCTTTTAGCTTTGTTAGCACTGCTGCCCTACAGAGCAGAACCTCTTGCCTTGGACCAAAACTTTCTTACACTTATTAAATGCCTTATAACACTTTTGGTACCAGAAACATATTCAAGAAATAAAAGTCCAGCCTCATAGAAAAAACCGCCAATTTCTATTATAGTGGTTCTACATATTCAAGCTTTCTTCGGTCTGCCTCCAGGTTCTGTATTTGGAGCCCACACCCTGCATTCAGGCCATGACAAATTGAGTAATAGCCCTGAATTCCTGACCAGCTAAAACACTACTATAAATAACAAATTATGATTCACTTCACCAATAGAAAAAGTGCCTGCCCACTCTAAAATAATTATATCCAGGGTAACAATAACTGAAAACAAGGCACAGGACTAACATGAGAGCCCAGGGGTATATCTGTGAGTATGTGGCTTGTGGGGAGTTACCAAATCCAACGCAGGGCATGGCACTTCTCTGTGTATACAAAACCACGCTATGAAAAGCCAGCGTCCATAAAGGAGACAGAGGAGTCCTGCAACTTTATTCAAATAAAGAGAGGCCACAGGGGCACACGCCCGCGGCGTTTTCTCTCCCGAGGTTTCGGAGGGTGCAGCCTCCTTTCATCCCGAACTGCGGCCGCACGCTGCCCTTTTCCTCTCCCCTCTGGCTGAGGCACTCACAAGGTACAGCCTTCTCGAACTTCTTTCCACATACGAAAAAGTAGTTTTCCCTTGAACCTACTGTTTTACCCCAAAGTTCAGCCTTGTGGAGACCCACTTTCTGTTCCATGAATTAGGCTGTCTGGGCTCTGCAACAAATCTGCTGCCCAAAGTCGGCAGAGACATGAAGCCCCACTTCAAAGATATTAACACCCATACCTTCACCCATCGAATTATTTGTCAAGACATCAGCACACATCTTCCCGCTCATCTGGAGATGCCCGGCGGGCTGTGACCGGCACAGGGCCCTGGCCACAGCCCGGGCACCTCGGGGCCGGCCCGGGCGGCCGCCACACGGAGCGCGGAGCAGCGGCGAGGCCGGAGCGAGCAGCACTTACGTTCCTCGACATCCTGAGCCTCTCACTCCGCCCGGGAGACACAACTCAGGGACCGCCAGAACCGCGCACCACCAGCCTCGCCCTCATCCGCCTCAGGGCTCCCCCGCCCCCGAGCCGCTCCCCGCCCGCAGCGGCGCACGCCGGGACGCGTAGTTCCCGCCGCGGTGGGGAAGCCCTTCCTTCCTCTCTCCTTCCCTTCCTTTCCCTCCCCGCCCTGCGGCCGGGCGCGGGGCAGGCGGGAGCTGTAGTGCGGCGGGGCCGGGCCTGGCGGAGCCCCGCGGCCGGCAGGAGGTGCGTCAGCGGCCGCCTCCGGGCCGGGAAGGCGCTTCCGGAGGCGGGAGGTCGCGGCGTGGAGCGGCGGCGCGGCGCTGCCCGAGCGGTGCTGGCGGCACGGCAGGAGCGGAGCGGCGGGGCCCGTGTGCGGCGCGCTGCGGAGGAAGGCACCGGCCGGCTCCGCCATGTCCTACTGCAGGCAGGAAGGTGCGCACGAGTGTCCTCCCAATGTCACCCCGCCGGGCGGGCTCGCAGGGTGGGTGCCCCGCGTGGTGACCGCCAGCTCCCCGCAGCCCGTGAGGGGAAGGCGCAGCCGGAGTAGAGAGGAGGCGCGGCAGCCGCCCGCCCTCCGTGTGTGGTGGCGGCAGCGCTGCCTCCCCTCCCGCTCCGACCTTTCCCCCGGCGGAGGGCGGGAAGGGCGGCGGGGCCATGAGGCGGCAGCGCGGGGCCGGCAGGGTCCGTGTGCGGACACGGCAGCTCCGGCCGCCCTGCTCCTGCCGCCCGCAGGGGTTACATTCATCGCTGAGTGGCCTGAGGTGTGGGGTTTGGCCTTTCTGAGGTCGATGGATGGGGTGGGTAGAGTGCGAGCTTTTCTGTATCCGTATCGTGTTGTACATGGTATTTATGAGGCTTGACCACTTCTTAAAGTGTAAGATACATAGATAAATATCGATATATATCTATATCTGCGTGTATATAAATAAATAAATATCCTTGCTCTCTTAAGTGTATAAAGTTTCAGACTGGAAAAAAAGTGCCAGTAGTTCTAAAAGCCATTCATAAGTTACAAACTTGGACGCAGACACTGTGTAAATTGTATGGAGGTATTCATAACCAATAACCTCTTTTATGTTTTATGCTGTGCTTTGTTTAATTTTGCAAGATCTATAAGTTACCTTATGCAACCCTACAAGATTGCAGTGACGGGGGTAGAGTTTATGTGTTTCTAGCTCCTTTCATATAAGAAATAATCGAACATTCCACATTGTAAAATTTGCTGGAGTCAAATGCAGAGCTGTCAGAAAACTGTTTCCCCTTTTTAAAAAGTGTTTAAAACAGGTTTATCTGTTTTTCAGTCATACTTAAATGCCTTGTTACTGAGCAAAGTTAAGTTACTGAACATGTGCTGGCTGAGGTCACACTGAGGGGCCAGGAGATTCTAATTTCTAATATGCCAAGTTACTGTAGTGGCCTTAATGAATTTGGAGAATTCTTGGGGAATTTACCATTTTTTCCACTCACAGAATACTTAGTTATGCATGCCTCAGAGTGTGTGTTAGAGCTTTTTAGAGTTGTTAGAAAACTAAAACTACTGAAGTTTCCAGCCAAGCCTCCCCCGATCCTGCTACGGAATGTTTTAGTTAAATCAAGAGCAGGAAATTTGCTCTGTTGGATTTCTATCCCTTGCAGTGTTTACAGTACCTTTCAGTGTAGTTAGTTCTATATGATAACAGCTATCTTCTGTTTTTAATTCAGATGGTTAGTGTAAAATATTACACTAGTCTTTAGCGAAGAGCATTGTTATTAATAATAAGTTCCTATTGAACACTTTACTGCTATTTATTATAGTTTTACTTTCACTCTTAATTCTAAACCCTTCATCTGCTTTATTTGTACTGGAGTAATTTGAGTTTGTTTTGAAACAGCTTTTTAACTTGGCAGTTTAGTTAACCGTACTGTGATCTGCAGCCATTACAGGGCATTGCTATGAAAATTGGAGCTTTAGAATAACAGAATTTCAGTGTATATGTGTTCCTCTGAACTAGTGACTGTTCTCATTGAAGGTGATTGAGTACAACAGTTCATTCTCTATTAATGTTAGTGCATCACACTGAATATCTCGTTACTTTGTGGTGTTCAGCAGTCTTTCTGTCTCAGATTTCTCTGAACTTTTGCTTCTTGTCTCCTCCATGGTAGGAAAAGACAGAATAATATTTGCAACCAAGGAGGACCATGAGACACCGAGCAGTGCTGAGCTGGTTGCAGATGACCCAGATGACCCTTATGAAGAGCAAGGTCAGTAGTGAGCAGAATGACAGAAGTAAGGGGTGTTACATCATATATAAATGAAATGTAGTTTAGAAAGTGAAAGTTACACTTTCTACAGAGGCTCTGAGACCTTTAGAGGGCAGCATTTAAGCAGTTTAGCAGCTGGAGCTCACGGGGTCTCTTTGTTAGCTGCTATGGTGTGTAGTGTAATTTGAATCACACCTTCCTATGTCATTAAAATTAACGTTTTTTTCATACATGGATTTGTGTTGAGATGTTACTGCATTTATTTGCCTATTTTGGCTTCATCACAACTGTATGTATTCAGTTATATATCCAAGTTTTTGTCACCTGCACTGAGAAGTCTGTTAATGACCTGGTATGACATACATTTGGGTAATAAACTAGTCAAAATTAAAAGAATCACTTTATTTTTGTTTAAATGCCATATCAGTTGATTGCTCTTATGTATATTTTTCTGGACATGGAAAGGCTGTGGTAAGGAGGAGAGGTGATGGGGTTTGTTTCCTAGCAGTCATACATTTACAGAATATTAGATGACTTTCTTCCTCAACAGTTAATCAGAAAAGAAAAAAGCCAGGAGCTTTTTATGTCACCTTACAGTGACAGTTTGTGTCTGTGGGATTCAAAATGAAAACCATAAACTATGTTTAAGTACTGCCAATAAGTTTGGGTGGGGATTTCTTGTTTTGTGGTTTTCTTTGTTAGTTTGTTGAGTTTTCTTCTTAGTATGTGGTAAATTACTGCCCTGTTTTAAAGTCTGAAAAACCACTTGAATGACCCAGGGCTACAATGCATTAGATCAGAAGAGAGAAAATGGACATATCACAGAATGTAGCTGTAGGGAGTGAAGCTTATGGGCAGGAAAGACAGTGGTAAAATCGTTTGGAATATGTTGAAATTCTGAAGCTTTGGCTTGCATGGCTTTTCTTTAAAAGAAAATCGGGAAGGGTTTTGCTGTACCTGATGTAACATGCAGATTTTCTAATTTAGCTTCTACTTGGAATAGAAGACTTGGTTTCCAGTGTTCAAGTTCTGTTGTATAATTAACTGTAAGGATTCTTTTCATCTTTTCTTCTGTGCCAGAGAGACCAGTCATACCTGGGAAAGAACAGATGCATTATATGGACCTACCATAACCTCCATTGTTTTCTAATACGCCTGAAACTTGTGTTTGAGGTTTTGGTTTTTTTTGTAGGGGCCTTTTTCATGCTTTAGATAAACATCTAGTTTGGTATCCGGTAATTTTTGATAGTTCTTATTTTGTCCCAGACATTAACAGACATTAGTCTGTGAGCAGTCTGCTCGAGTCAGTAGATTGGTCAGGAAAACTTGTGTTCTCTTTTCCTGAGAATAGACACCAGTTGTATACTGCTCTTATTTCTGTCAATATTTTGTTGTATGAGATGGGAGATTTTGGTAGGCAAAATGTTAATGACTCACTTTAAACTAAAAACATTGAAAGAAAAAAAGACATGGAAATGGAAAGGCAGACAGACTGAACTAAGTTCAAGTTAGGATTTCATACTGCAGAGAAGATCACAGTTCACTGTGCCTTTTGACAACTGTGGCTGATGGAAACAAATTAAGAACTCATTTGCAGTGGTTTTGAAATAGTATTGTTACTGTAAAGCTTCTTTCTAGTCCTATGTGTTGCAGATGGTGGAATTTAAACATGAAAGATTCTTGGTTTTCACTGACATCTTGGCTGCCTTCAGTTAGAATAATGTTTTATTTTATTAAGCTTATATGAAGAAGGCAATGATGAGTTTTATGCATGCAAAATGATTTTTATTAGTGTTACAGCTGTGATGGGAAAGTTGGATAAAAGTACTTAGGGAATTGGACCTCAAACACAGATTGTTGCTGGTCTTTCCCTTCTGTTTTTCCAGACTTGTTCCTGTCATCTTATTTTATAAACAGTTTAAAAAGTGGTTTCTACAGGGGGCTGATGAATCAAAACTCCACGTTCTTTTAAGAAAGAACTTGATGAATGATCAGATGTACAGGACTGTTTCTATGACTGTTGATGTCCCTTTCAATCTTGTTTCCTGTCATCTTACACTGTGAATCCCTGGCAGATAAACTTGTTATTGGGGTGTTTGTCATGTAACAGGGAAGAAACTCTCCTCAGAACAACAGTGGGACTGCATACCCGTGAGTCTAAAGCCAAGTGTTGACACAGATGCAGATGGGCCTGCCTTTGTCCATGACATGAGCAGATTCCATGAGACATTAGGCTATGTGATGTTAGCAGTCAATTACTGATACAAGTCTTGATCTGCAGTGATGTAAACAGGGTTGTTTTTTCTTCCATAAGTGCAGGTTCAAGTAGATTATGACTCACTGGATCAGTAAGCTTCAGGCTGCATTTGGAAGAAGTTTTAATTCAATTTTAATTAAAAATAGTAATCCCACCTATTGCAGGCTTGCAACTCAGGAAGAGCAATGGATGAAATCTGTTTCGGATTTAATTGTGTTCTAAGCTTGCTGATGGACTTACTCATTGATGTGTGAATTCTGCTGTGATTATGAATGAGCAAATGCTTGCTTTATTCTTCTGTATTTTTGTTTTGTTTTTCTAAAGCATAGTTTCAGTGCACTTCTGAACTTCTGAAACTGATGCTATTTCAGTGATAAAATATGTGTAGCTCAGTGATCTTGTGATACCATAGAATGTATTGTTTTTGGGATAACTCACATTAAGATTAGCATGTTTACAAGGCAGGTCTGATTGCAGGAGCAATCTATTTTAAGAGAACTATTTTACAAGTAATTTTATTGCTCTAGTGTCTTCAGGAGCATTACAAATTGTGGTTTTTTTCTTC